TCTAAACTGTATTACTTTCAATCTTTCTTCTTTTCTAGTATATGTATATATTTCCAAATTTTCTTCTATAAGTTGACTTGGCTGCATCTCACAAGTCTTAAAATGTCATGTTCTCATTGCCATACACTTACTTGTATATTTTCAGTCTTGATTTTCTTTTTAACCCAAATGGCTAAATTATTTAGGTTCCTTTTTATTCTTACTTTCTAATTTGATTTCTTTGTGTTCAGAAAACATAACTAGAAATGTTGCTGAAATTTTCAGCATTAAGATTTTCTTCGTGGCCTAATCTATAGTCATTTTTTTTTGGGGGGGTTAATGTTACATGTATGCCCGTAAGGAATATATATTATTAATATGTATATTAGATTAAAATGTTAATATTCAGATTCATATAGCTTTACTTATTAAATGTCTTCTTACTCTGTTGATGTTTGAGCTATGTATGTTAGATCTGAGAATTTCTCATTTTATTGCTACCAACAATTGCTTTACACTTTTTGTAGTTATGTTATTTGACACTTAGCAGTTTATGATTGTTAGATTTCTTGGTGGATTTTAGTGTTCATTTTTATGGAACACTCTATTGTTTTGTGAATTCTGTTTTGTCTGCCGTCAATATTGCTATATGCACTTTTAAAAAAAATACTTTTTTGGCTGTATTTTCCCCTTATTCCTTTATTTGCAGAGTTACTCTTTTGTTTATCTCTTCTCAGTATCATATTGCTAGATTTCCTTTGCCTTTCCAGTCTGAGAGCTTTTTTCTATTAATAGGGGAAACTGATTCATTTACATTTATTGATATGTAATCATTGTTATGTTTGGGCTTAATCCTTCCTTTTTATTTTATGTTTTTATCTATTTATCATGCTTTCGTATTATCTCCCCTCTTCTGACCTTTCTTATACTCTCCCTCACCCCTAATTCCTCTTCATCAGTTTGTTTGGAATTCATACATCTTATTTGTATTATTCTGGGATTACCTCCTAAGAGTTAAGAAACATAATTAAACTATTACATTTGGGGTTAATCAGTATCTGCAGTCTGACTGGAGCAGTAGGGTACCACTTGCTCAACTGTGTCGCTTAGTCTTATGTTTACCTACAGGCTCCTGCTTCTCTTATCTGTAATAGTTTGCTCCTACGTGTTGGTCGGGCTTTAGGTTCTTCCAGTCTTTACTCTGCAGTTTTGATCCTGATTATTTTCTATCTTGGAATTCCTCAAAATTTCTGATTAGACATTGGCACTCTTTTTCGTTTTCCATTCCTCATTTTGATTTATTATTTTTGAAAAATATCTTTTCAGTCACTACATGGCATTTTGAATAGGAAGGAGGTAAGAAGCATGTGTTTAACCTGCCAACTAGAATCCTGATAAATGGTGGGAGTTAGATTCATTGCTGGTATGTTGTGTGTTTTTTCATAAGCGGTACAAGAGCACGTGCTCAAGAATAGCGTTCTGTGTACTTTCTACAAGAAATTCTTTTGCTATGCTTTGAAAATTGGTTATTTATGAAGGAACACAATCATTTTCAACCTTTCAGTTATTACATATGTACTTACAGCTATTATCAGATACTCTATTATGTTTTTAATCCCTTATGTAATTATCATTTTTAAATATATTTTGATATTACCCTTTGACAGTATCAGGAAAATAATAGATAATTTTCTATTGAAATAAGAGGTGAATGGTTCTCCCCCTGGAGAACAGTGCTCCCTTTTTCTTGCTGTTTGAAGTTGGGGTGGGAGCTGGGCACAGAAAGAAGGATGAGGTCACTCACCTTAAGCACTTTGTTGTTCATGATGCTGTATACCATTTCTTAAGGAAGTTACCTTGTTGCAGCTAAACCTTAAGGGTGGTTTATGTATACATGTAACAGTTCTTTTTGTATTAATTAGGGATATCTGAAAGATACATCTTTGATTATCTGTTTAAATTATAATTAAAAAGTATTGGAGGAGAACATTTATATAGTTCAATTTTATGCAGTCATGATTTACAAGAGGGATCAGCAAACTTTTTCTGTACAGAAACAGTAAATATTTTAGCTTTGTGGGACCTGATGATCACTGTTGCAACTACAACTCTGTTGTTGTAGTGTGAAAGCCATAGACAGTCCATAAATGAATGATACGAATGTGTTCCAGTATAACTTTATAGAGACTCAAATTGGATTTCCATATATTTTTCACATGGTGTGAAATATTATTATTCTTTTGATTCAACCCCCTACCTGCCGCCAACCATTTAAACAAGTAAAAACCATTCTAGCTCATGAACTGCTCAAAAACAGATGGTGGGTTGGATTTTGGCCGGCTGGCCATAGTTTGCTGACCCTTGATCTAAAAGATTATATAATAACATG